TGGACCTGCAAACCACTACAGATTATCCCAGACATAGATAGATTAATGAACTGATGTATAATCTGCTAAAGATATTGTATAGTTTTGCCAATGAATTCGCCATTACTCCGTATATGACAGAGAATCAGCTCTAAACTCTTTGTCTCCAGACACCTGAAACACACCATCATAACACCGGATGCGTCTTTCACGTTTGAGACTAGAGCTCTCCGTGATGAGTACGACGCTATGGTTAATGACAGACCCGCAGCACATGAAGTCTTAATTAGCCTGTCTGGGCCTTTGCCTTATGCGCCTCAATCTCCGCCTTGACCTTTCGCTGTCTCATCTCCATCTCGGCTTTGATTTCTTCCACAGCCTCGTTGAAGTCACCCTCGATATCCTTGGAAATACCCAAAATGGGCTCCTTGCCCGTTAGACTGTCCGTTGAGATTGAGCGCACCAACTTAGCGCTAGCTCGGCCCTGACGCTTCTCCAGCTGCTGCTTCAGGGCGGCCTTTCCGGGGGAAGAGAAGAAAACGAGTGACAAAAAGGTCCAGATGACAGCGTAGAAGTAGACGCGGGACCAGGCTAGTAGTGAGCCCTGAAGTGTGAGGACTAGGAAAGGTGCTGTGGCAAAGGTGAAGGTGAGTTGTGTGGCGAGATAAGATACGAAATCGTAGTACTTCTTCTTGGGCGAGGGGTTGCCAGTGATGGGTTCTAGGAAGAATGGGCGAACATGACGGCGGTAATCTGGAAACCATTGTCAGTATCATCTATACGTTTCAGCGTAACCAACTTTTAAGATAGACTCACGCTTTGCAGCTGTCTGAATGAAGCTTGCAAGGACAAAGCTAAGGTAGTATCCGGGATAGAAGCCATGCCAAAGAGCACTTGTACCAAAGGTCATGAGACTAGCGCGAAAACCAGGCTTCTTGCCTCTAGGCGTGACACGCAAATAGACGTAGTTCCTCAACCAGTTGCTCGTGTTGATGTTCCAGCCTCCAAGATATCCTCGGGGATTCTGCGCAGTCTCAACAGCCCAGGGATCAATGTTCTGCAATCGGTTCCAGAAGACCTTGCCCGTAACAGGATCAACACCGTTGTAGCCCATGCCCGCGAGGATGCAAGATCCCTCTGTAAGGTACCAGACACCATAGTATTTGAGTCGTGCAGTGAAGCTAACCATGTGCATGATCCAGACACGGCGGAGGAAACCATACTTGATATAAATATCAGAAGTGAGCAGGCTAGGATAGTATGAACCACCTAGAGCCATGAACATCCCAATAAGGAAGAGGCCACTCGCTGCCTTCCAAGCTGCGGGACCACCACTTCGGGGAATCTTTCTCTTCTTCCTCACAGGAGGCTTCTTTGCTGGATCGACATTGGGTGCGTCAAACATGGTTGTGTCAAGCCATTTACGATAGTCGGTGAAGTCGAAAGACGGGCCGGCGAAGAGCGCAGGGAAGAAGAGGACCCAGCCAGCATAGTTGAGAATGGGAGGCAGGTCCTTGAGCATATTCCTCTTCTGGAAATCAGACAGATACTCCTCAGGGAGTTGGCCGTCAGCAACGTTCCAGCAGAATGCACTCAGCTTCATGAGAAGCACCATCTGGGCGCCTGTGACATCAGCCCTTGTTGGGTCGTCGGCGGCTTGACGAGCGATATGGCTTAGGGACATGTGGCCCATGACGAAAGCGAAGCCAATCCATGGCATGTAGGGACTCGTTCGAAGGAATTTGGCGATGCAGTATGTTCCTCCTGCGCTGATGAAGAGGGTTCGGACACCATCCCATAGGTCAAAGAGGCCGACGAGGTAGAAGATTGATACGCTTGGTTGAACATGTTAGTGCGACTGAACATGGATGGGCTGAGAGATCGTTGATGTTGTACCTGATGGCAAAGAGGTTCTTAAGATCTGGTCTAGAGTCGGGGATTCGCTTGAGGAGAGCGGCGAGGGGGAATGATATCAGGAATGAGGTGACGAGTTTGACTGCGGTCGTGTTAGGTAGAGGTCTATTGAGCTTGAGGAAGCTCTAGGGCAGGGGGAGTAACCCACGATCGTCTGGGGCAGCACCAACAGTGTCTGCTAAGGCCACAAAAGCTATGCAAGCAAAATTAGTTAGAAAAACAGAGTCGCCGTTACAAGAAGAATGCAGCTTGAAACTTACGCCTATGCAGAAAGTACAGCATCTTGCTAGCGATTGAGGTAGCTCGGGACACAATCAATACCTGTGGAGTCCAAGTGCTTCCAAACTATAGGCTATACAATCCAAGAGGAAATAAAAGGGAGATAATAGGAATTGTGCGTCGGCCTCAGCTATATCATGGCGTGAGAGAGGCCAGAAGAGACAGCTCTTTTGGGTTGATTGATCAATAGGTGAAGGACGTCATTTCCATCCCTTGCTTTATCTAGAATAGAGTGGAAGACAAGATCCCCAACATTTTTTGGAGAAGAAGCAAAAAAAGCTTGGACATTCCATGGTAGCAGGCACCTAAACTTAGCACCTACCTTACAGAGTGACGTCCTAGGGACCCACGTGGGGCACTTCACGTGTCGATCTTCAAAACTGGACATGACCTTGAGGCTGATCATGAGCCTCGGACTTTATAAGTATTATGTGCCAATGAGGCAGAAGCGTGCTTATGTAGAGCTTTGGTATAGGGCAGTATCGTCTCTAAGCGACTCAAGTTGTGGAAAATTGCCTGTCAACTGGCGTAATCACCAACGCGTCCATCATGACTGAGCTCAGTCAATTATAGGATTCGGACTCAAAAGAAGAATGCATTCAGCGAATAATAACCCCTGCCCGAAACTCCTTCGTCTATTCTCACTAGAAAACAAGTCACCGTCGTGCTCATTACAATAATATACACACCCAAAAACCCTATCCCGGGTTCTGTTCTATAAATCACCCGGGGCCTTTTTATCCCTTGATTCGCAGGAGCCATGTTTATCCACATCATCAACGCCATGCACAGTAGCCTAACCTCTAAAGTTGCGCCTTGCATCGTATCATCTAAGAGTTGGCATCGCGGTTGCTCTTGGCGCTCGCGCTCATCGTAGGCCGCACCGTAGGCAGTGATCCTCCCGAGGACATCGATTGTCGTACACGGGACCAGGCATAGACCAGACCGCTAATGAAGCCGAGGAAGATGGCAGACACACTGCCGAAAGTGACTGGGGCTGAGAAAAAGACCAGGCCGCTAATTGCAATAGGAAGCTTGTTGAGGGCTCCAACCATAGAATATGTTGTCGAGGAGGTGACGCGGATGCACCAAGCAGAGCAGTATGAGATAAAGATAGCTGCAAGGCCAGAGTAGATCATGCCGATAATGATCTTGTTACGGGTATCGTCGGGGAAGTTGCGAGAGAAATTGTAGACGGACCAGTCCTCTGTAAGAAGCGAGCAGACAACTAGAACAGGAATCGTGAGGAGGTTGTTGTAGTACATGGCTACACAATGTTAGCAACAGAGACATTCACACCGACAGTGCATGACTTACTATCCCAGTCCTTAAAGTTCATCTTCTTGATGACCTTGCGCATGCCCAGCACGTAGGCAGCACTGCAGAAAACGTTCATTCCCATCCAGGCATAACCAGCGTTGAGTGTAGAGACAGCAGCAGCCGAGTCGGCAGTACCAAAGTCACCGTTGATGGCACTCTGGATGTCTGCCCACGCTGCGACGATCGAGCTCAGCACCATGAGACCGAAAGAGAGCAGGGCCAGTGGTGTAACACTGCCGCCGAACCAAAGGACCTCGCCGTACGCGATGACAATAATGGTCAAGTTCTTGAAGATCGTATAAACGGGGACCGAGAGGAACTGAAGCGACTTTGTACTGGTGTAAATCATGCCGACGAGGAGAAGAGAGATAGGGAACCCTTTTTTCGTGTTAGCATTAGAAGGTCACAACTTGAGCCTCAATAACGTACATTTTCTTGCTCGATCAGAGTCGAAAGGAGCAAGAACCTTGATCAAGCCCAGTTGTTTGCACAGAGTGATTGCGCCAATACACACGACAGCCTACACGGTCCAATGTCAAAAACGGGTACAATGCCTCGTCATGGAGATTTCCTTGCCTGGACAGTCAAGTAGAAGAAGTTGAGATTCCAGAAACTACCCGACACAACATACTTGTTGACAACTGTCATACTGATTGACGACAAACAATACGCCAAGATAGACAAGGGTGGGCTCTTTTCCAACTGTTCAAGGCCACTGACTGGACTTGATCCATACGCAGCGGGAGGCGGTGATCGCGCCTGGAAAGAAGGCTTCTCATTCTTATCATAGTTGTCATTGCCCATCTGGACGACGTAGTCCTCGTTCTTCTTGTCGGTCATTATGGCAGCGGACGAAACGAAACGAAACGATCGTGGAAGTAAAACGTCGAGATCAGCGCTGGGATGCGGCGGAAGTACCGGGTTTCGCTATCGAGAATCGAAACGAGACGCTATTTGATCGATTCGTTCTAACGTTGGGTGCTATCGTGGTCGCAGATTGTGTAAGAAAAGGAAATTACAGCGCGTTGGACAAAGTGTTCAGCTCTTTAACCCCCGTTGGAGTCCTTTCTCCCTTAAACTAAAGAGCCCTGTAAAAGAAAGTACGAGGTACGAGCCACAGGGTCGAGGGGCTCAAAGGGAGACGTGGAGCTCAAAGGGAGACGTGGAGCAAATGGAACTTGACTTGGATTTGGGGCGCGTTCCTGCTGAGTCATCCAGAAGGACAGGGGTAAACTTTATGGTGTTGAATGGTATGTGACTTGGAGAGTAAGAGAAAGTAAGAGAGTAGAATGTTCAGCCTTTTTCCGGTCCAGATCCGTCTCGATCACACGGCATCTCCTTTCAGGGTCCAGAAATAATGGGTAGTAAGCTCGTAAAAGAATTTGTGTTGTCCTGTATCATAGAATTAGCGTTTAATAGTCACTCCACCCGGTACGAGAAATCCAATTGCGCCTGCGCCTCAGAAGTGCCTCAGCACAGCACCCATAACTAACGACAATGTTCATTTTTCAGGAAGCAGAAGCAGCAGCCTCATTGGTTTCAGGGGCTGCTGCTGCTGCTGCTGTCTCTTCTCCAGCTTCTCTGTCATCGTCTGGTCCAGCTGGAAAGTTGAGGTGTTTCCAATCCTCCAACTCTTCTGTCACAGACCGCATGCGGTCGCGAATGCTCTCAATTGCATAGCTTCCCAATAATAATCGTAGCGGCGGGTACGAGCAGTGTCCGAGTTGCCATACGAGTTCAGCACACTTGATAGCGCTCGTGGGTCGATACTTGTCACCGAGCCACTGAACAATTCTTCGTGCATGTAGGGCTGGGGATGTTGGATGCCCGTATGTCTCGCTGGGTGGCTTCACAAGAAAATGACCCCATGACGTTGGAAGCGACGTATCTTGCATCTCTGGTTCTTCGGGTCTCACATGGCCTGGCTCGATGAGTGTAGCTTTGATGTTGAACGCATCCGTCTCATAGAGCATGGCCTCGATTAGGCCCTCCACCGCATATTTGGTCGCGCAGTAAGGGCCCAGGCCAGGGACGCCCAAAGCGCCAGACGTTGAGCTGAAGATGAGATAGCGGCCTGCATTCTGCCTGCGGAAATACGGCAGCGTAGCGTGAATGATGTGAAGCGTGCCCATGAAGTTGGTCTCGAACTGGTTACGTATGTCATGCTCATCCTGGTCCTCGCAGGCGCCTATGACACCGTAGCCAGAACAATTGACGACAATATCGATACGGCCAAAGCGCTGGAGCGTACGCTCGATGACACGATTCACAGATTCGCGAGCGCGGACGTCGCACAAGGCGCCGAGACAGTTCTCATGGATATTCTCCATGTCTTTAAGACTTGTCTCGAATACGCGGCCAACCGACGTTACCAAATCTCCATGTGAAAGTGCACATTTGACAAGGGAGTGCCCCATCTGACCCGTACCTCCAAAGATCTGTATGTGCATCCAATGGTGAGCATATCGAACGAATGAAAGAGCGTTGTGCTGTGCAGGAGATGAATCATACCACCCAGACTAACTGCTTCACTGGGGTGTTGGGCTGTGGAGGATCACAGCTCGCAGGAAGCTGCGCTATTCGCGGCCTCGACGATGCCTCAGTAACATCCGAGACTTCGGTTCTGGTGTCCATCGTGTGCGTTGAGTCTTGGTATCCCCAATTGAGCTGCAGATTCCCGTTATTCAAGTTTGTTGTTGTTGTTTTTGGCTGAATTGAAGAGAAGGTTTACTTTGAAAGCTGTAAACCATAAAACTCCAGGGTCTCGTGTTATGCTCTGGCGGGGTCCAAAACTGTACGTATCAGTGCTAATCATTAGTTAGTAGGTAATCACAATGCCTCCAATCTGACTGAGAATAAAGCATTATCAGAAGTATCTGAGAAGAGCAACAGTCTTTATCCTGAATTGTAAATTATGCTCTCAGAGAATGAATCTGTGCATGTTATGCCCCGGATATCCCGTTCATGCTCGCTTTCACAGCATTAAAGCTTGCCTGGTCCAGGTCGCTCAAGGCATCTTGAGAATATTCTAGATGCCTCAGACTTGAGCCCAACAAGACAGCTCAAGGTTTGATTCGTCGAGGCACAACTAGATCTTAAGGAGCTGCGCCTTTGCTGCATGCTCTAACTACTACTGCAAGATACTCCCACTTACACGCCCCGCAACGATCCATGAAATACGCTGGAGCCAATGCTATGAGCGGTATTCTTTGCTGACCGTATGATGCGCTCACTCGTAAAAAGTTTGGGACCCTCACATAGAAGAGACATGCACTGCAAATGTTGTAGGAGCTCACAAGCATTTCTGTGAAAACTTCAGTTTGGAACAAGGATGAATAGATATGATATATTCGTATGCTATATGGAACCGGGTTTCTCCAAACTCCCGCTAACTCACCCCCTCAAGAAATAGATCGTAATAAGATACCATATCTGAACGATTGGCAATCGACTTGCTTAGACTGTCACCAATTTGCGACTGAGTTGTTTTCGGTTCAGATCTCACAAAACCGCTCACAAGTCGTATGTTTGTGGTCTGCAACAGACAGACCATGCAAAATGACGTAAAATAGCTCCCAGATCACGTCAACCCTATGCTTTTCCATCACAGCTTCAAGCGGCGCCGTTCATGCTTGACGGTTCTTCAGTTGGACTGGTAATTCGGTCGGTCTCCTGGTACTTAGCACCCTCCACTACTATCAAATACTGGCTTGACTCCCACGTGGGCCTCTTACTGGTTGGGCTCACCCAGGAACTGCTTCACATATTCCTGTCGGTGCTCGTTCTTGTCGACATCGGGGCCTCGGTTCAGAGGCGTCCACTTGGGGTCCTCCTTGAACAGTCTCATGGCATGAACATACTGTGATCGTCAGCCTTTTTGGTTTGCAGCAGAGTACTTCTGTTGACTTACGTTGCTCTCATCAGTAGTGAAGCGGTGGTAAATGCCAGGAGGTAGGATAAGAAGGTCATCCTTCTCGAGCAACACGCGCACCCAGTCGTCATCCTTGCTTCGGACATCAAAGTATCCACGGCCACCACGAATGTATCGAATCTCCTCGTCCTCGTGCAAGTGCTCGGCGAAGAAGGACTTGACCTTGGTTTCGTAGATGTCACCCATGGCTTGGGGAGAGACAGTGATCTCGTCACGGTTCTTGTAGCCACGCTCCTTGGCAAGGTTATCGACCGACTCGAGCTCAGGGAGGTGGTAGTAGTAGACACCGATGTTCATGAGATCGTCAACACTGACGGGCATGCCCGAGTTATGAGGGAGGCGCTGGTCGCCCTGTAATTTTTTGTTAGTGGGATCGTGCAGCAAAAAGAGGTTATACTCACGGGAAGGCCATCATAGAAGTAAGCTCGCATAGTTGTTAATTGATTCGACGTATATAGAGATTATCCGGGAGAGAGAAAAGTACAGTAGGAATGGTATTGCAAGATCAAAAGTGTCAGGAGGTGGAAGCTCTTTTTGAAGCTTTGAAATGGCCGGGGCTCCAAGCTGTTTATGTACCTACCTACATTTTACAGCGTCCCAATGGTTCCATGGCGGGGTCAACCATGGAATGTCCGGCGAAGGCTAGCGACGTCAGCGCATCAGCGCTACACCAAAACGCAAAAGGTAAAGGTCCCTGCTGCGCTGACATCACAAGCACACGCCTTCAAAGGCCGGGCCCTCAATGGACCAGCTCGTAAATCAACCCAGAGGTTGTGCAGGCAGGACTTGTGTCTTATTTGGTGTCCACCCGAACTACAGTGGACGAACGGCACTAGGTACCTTAGCGCTTCCTTGCACTGATACAAATTTACTAACATATCATGAGACAGCATCATGATGCCTAGGTACCTACTTTACCTTATATATCACAAATAACCACCAGTTTTACCAAATGTTCAAAGGCTATTGTTCATTCCAATCTGACAACGCCATAGTAAATCAACGCTATCGGCAATACATCTGTCCAGTGCCATGCTTCCGAAACATACCAATCCTGAACGCCAATTCATAGCAAATATTGAGCATAATGGCTCTATCGTTCCTTGCTGAAACGGATATCCTTCTCTGCAATTGACCCTTCAAAGCTCTCGGGGCGCAGCTTCTCGAGCCCCGGCAACCATGATGTCGTTTGTACTATCATCCGCATCAACTCGAGGTCGAGCCTCAAACAGACGCCTCCACCAGTTAGGAGGGTCGAGGGGGCGAGAACCGTTGTGCAGAGGAGGGTAAACGTCAGAAAAGAAATACCAAACATGTCCAATAACGACACCCATGATCTCATCCTTGGGAACAGTGCCGTGCAGTACAAGGCTGAAACCCATCAATACCCAGGGCAAATAAGGGGCGGTGAACACAAGTAAGCCAAGGAAGCTCAGTCTAGTCTCTGGGTTACGTCGGGACCATATGTAGACCAGCGTCGAGGAAAGCGGGTGACCGAGAAATGGCATGGAAACGAGGGGCGAGAGAGCGATCAAGGAGGCCATTGAATAAAGTAGTAGCCACGAGAAATGAGCAGGCGATCGACCCGATGACTCCTCTAGCAGGCGCGCATAACGTTGAAGGAAGTAGACATGGAAGAGGAGATCGAGCGAGAAGGGGCCAAAGTAGAGAAACGTCGTCAATAGTCGCCAGTACTGTAGGAGATGCAATGTCAGCATAAGCGTTCGCATTTCAACCATTTGTCATAAAATCAAGAAAACAAATGGTTAGGAAGATTACGAACCTGTGATTTCACAAATACCGCGCGAAAGCTGTAGAATAGTTGGAAAGGAGTGACCATCTGGCATTGAACCAGGGCACTAGTCAGAATTGTAGCGGTTGTCCACCAACGAGTGCATGTTGGCATCTCCCAGAACCATTGTTCAAGAGGCAGTCGGCCTCCATCCATGACTTGATCCATCGATGAGAGCTTTGCGCAGTGCTATGTTGATTGGAATATCTTCCTTTCGGTGGTGCTGAGTGGGAACAGCTAAGTGAGCGATGATCGGATATGAACAAGGTAGTCGAGTAATGGATTTATTTTAGGAACGGAAGGAGTAGAGATCGAGTTTAGGTATCAGGCAACACCAACGACTCTTGTTGAGAGCAAGGCGTCAGATGCTGTAAAAGTTCAAGCATGTAAAGTTTTGTTGTTGAACTGAAAGATGACGGAATAGGACGAGCCACGTTGAGAGACTGACGGGTACAGGTAACTTAGGTGTGTCCAGGACCCCCACCATTCCGTCCGGGAATACGTACCTCGCTTGGCCAGTTCATGCTAGATGTGGCCGTGCAGATATGTGGCCGTGCATCAGTTTCGCGACAGAGTGGCTGGAAATCAATTAAATAAAATCGCGGGGCTGGGGGAAGGCGCGCTCGCTCACACGCTCCCCATACTCGCGGTGGTCCTTCCCACCTTGCGATTCCACCACCAACACTCTCGCTTCTCTCCTACAAACTCCTTTTAACGAGAATAGCATTGATCGAACTCGAGCGTTTTGTGCAAGACATTTTGCTTCACTCCTTTTCCGCATGTCACTTCCTTTGCTGTAAAGCTCTTCTCGCAAACCCACAACACACTCTTTGTCCTTTCTCCACGCTCCTTTCAATGCCTCCCAGGAAATCTAAAGCTTCCGGCGCGGGCAAATCGCGGCCGAGTGACGTTCAAGGTATGAATTCCCAGAAACTCAGACTTGTCCTAGTAGCTGTTTTTTACTTACAATGTCATTAGCTGGCGATCCTGTTCCCGTTCGCGCAAAGCGTAGATACCGTCCTGGCACAGTCGCTCTTCGCGAAATTCGACATTACCAAAGTGGCACGAAACTGCTCCTCCGAAAGCTCCCATTTGCGCGCCTTGTCAGTTCCTCGGTGCCTTGGATTCGCTTAGTTGGAAACTAACACTAGGTCAACAGGTTCGAGAAATCGCTTTGACAATGCGCCCACGAGACGAAGGCTTGCGCTGGCAGAGCCAAGCCATCATGGCACTACAAGAAGCTGCTGAAGCTTACATGGTGCATCTGTTCGAAGATACCAACCTATGCGCAATTCACGCCAAGCGTGTTACAATCATGCAGAAGGATATTCAACTAGCAAGGAGGATACGCGGTATCTGGGGTGGGCTGGGTTAGAGAAGGGGATTACGGAAACAAAATGTGAAAAACAAATCAAAAAGAGTCTAGAATCTGCACGGGAACTCACGAGACTTTGGTTTTGGGATTATGGATGGCGTCGGGGCGCTTCGAGATATACCTGCTGGCCTTCTGTGTTGGCTGATTTACTTTGGTTTCTTCTTACCTGCTACTTTGAGGATCTCATCGGCTTCGATACCCGAAGCTGGCAAAAGGAGCCCTTTTCTGTAAATATAATATTTGCGGTCAATCAATTATCATCTTCAAATTTGTTACCGAGGTACCACCAGCTCTTCGTGTCATGTTCAGGGGAGCTGGGATATTCTTTGTTCTCCCCACGCTGAGCAGTCATTGGCTGAGAGCTCATGACTGTTAGACTGTCACTGACGTAATAAGCAATTCAGACTCGAGCTCCCTCTAGCTCTCGACCTACACTTAAAACTTTCCTTTCCCAGTTACATATCACCAATTGGCTCTATCGTTCTCAAAACGAGGTATTTCCACGAACATGTATAGAGCCTTCAACTCTCGAGTAGCCTTGCGGGCCATGGGCCGAGGCATTGCCCCCGCAACTTGCGTAGGAGCTTTCATTGCAACTCGACCCGTCATCCGTTGTGATGCCCCGACACTTGCTACAGGGCCTCCTTCACGCCGACGTCCTCTGGATATTTCCCCTGACACGGTTCGTCAGCTTTCTAGTGGAAGTGTTGCTGGTTGGTCATCCTCACCTTTTGTCATGCGAATTTAAGCTTACAGTCTGTCTTAAGGATTTGGAATTGGTGTTGTAGTAGCCCTCTTTTCCCGCACCCTTGCACTTCTCACTGGATTAATTGCCTTTTCCATCCATGTAAGTCACCCTCTACCAATAGGCTCACCCAGTATCGTCTCACATATTCAGGTCGCGTCTCGCTGGGGTTTGGATATTCCTCGGACTCTTGGTATCGAGAAGCTCCTGAAGAAGAGCTCGGTATGGAACAAGAGCAAGGAACGGCCATTATTCACTGCGTCGTTTCTTGTAACATTTATCCTAGCTACCTTCGTACGTCTATAGTATTGCTCAGGCCGGTTTCGTTACTTCACTCGATGTGCTGGGTCTCCCTCTTGAGCCAGGCCAATGTCACATTGTCTCCCTCAAAATATTCTTGCGTCTTCTCCAGAACCTTGGCGTTGTAAGTGTTGAGCCACTCCTTCTCTTCAGACGTGAGTAGCGTTGTGTCGATCAGGTTCCGGCAGTATGGCACAAGCGTTACGTACTCGAAGCCCAAGAACGGCTTGTCACCAAAGGAGTGCTTGGCTTTAACCTCCTTGACGAGGACCATGTTTTCTATGCGGATGCCGTACTTCCCATCTTCGTAATAGCCTGGCTCGTTTGACAGCACATTTCCTGGAGCCAATGCTACTTCAGCATACTGGACACGAGTGCCAATACCAATGGGTCCTTCGTGGACGTTCAGGAATGAACCAACTCCGTGTCCGGTACCATGTCTGTAGTCCAATCCGTTTTTCTATAGTATATGTTAGAGGCCAAACTTCATAAGTTGCTGCTAATAACATACCCAAAGATGTTGTCTTGCCAGGCTATCGAGTGCAAAGCCTGTGGTTCCCTTAGGGAAAATGGCTTGATCCAAAGAGATGTGACCTTTCAAAACTAAAGTGTACGCCTCCCTCTCTGCTTCTGTGGGCTTTCCAAAGTGCAAGGTACGAGTGGTATCCGTGGTGCCATCGCGGTATTGTGCTCCTGAATCACAAAGGTAAATAGCTTCAGGGTCGATAGTGGCACAGTTGCCACGCTCAGGGCCGTAGTGAATGATTGCAGCGCTGCATTTGATCGTCAGCGAAAGCTTACAACACTTAATGGTCAAGTATCATGAATCTCTCTCATGTCGCTTTATATCGAACTTACTTTGCACCCGTAGAGGAGATGGTGGGGAATGAGAGGCCAACGAAGTCCTTCTTTTCTTTTCGAAGCTCTTCAAGCTTGTCGGCTGCTTGCACTTCGTCAAGTTTAACTTTCTTGTTTACAAGCTGGTCCTCAAGCCAGGCAAAATACTGGATGAGTGCAGCGCCATCTCTCACATGACAGTCTCTCATACCCTTCAATTCAGCCTCAGTCTTGATGGCTTTGGCATCGCCAATTAGACTTCTGATTTCATCGACCGAAGAGTCTCCTCCCAGAGCACGCTTTAGTGCCCATGAGCCCTTGTTAGAAATGAGGAAGTTTCCAGTAGGAACCTTGTCGCCTGACTTGCTCTTTTCAGCATGAGCGGCGTGCAGTGCCTGGGCATCGTCGAAGATAGCTTCGTATGGCTTGATGTCGACTTTGTTCGAGGTGAGGTGCGAGCGGCATTTGTCGTCCAGCTTGGCTCCGTCGATGTAAAGCTTAGCAGCATCAGGGGTAACAGTAGCATACGCGAAGAAGACGGGGTTGTAAGGGATATCGTTACCGCGCAAATTGAACAGCCAGGCGATCTCATCCAGCATGGACACTAAGAAACCAGGAGAGTGCTTCTTTTCCAGCTCCTGGCGGACCTTGGTGAGCTTGTTCAGGACAGACTCTCCTGCAAGCTCGTCAGGCTGGATGATGACTTGTTCCGAGGGACGAGAGGGACGCTCATCTCCCCATACCAGATCGACAAGGTTTCCATCAACAGGTACAAGCTCAGCTCCGCCATTCTTTCGGATTTTCTCGGCAAGGTTCTTGGCCGTTGAACCGGAGATGAGTGTTGGGTCAACGCCAACATTCTTTCCACCAGAAGACTGCTCAGCAGACCAGTCTTGCCATGTAGGAACGTCTTGAAGGCCTTGTTTCAGAAGTGTCCAGTTGCTATCGAGTTGAGATGTGGCCTGGTTGAAGTAACGACCGTCAGTAGCAAGAGCAGCAGACTCGAGTGTAACAACAGCACATCCAGCAGAACCAGTGAACCCAGAGATATAAGCACGTCTGGCATCACAATCTGCGATATATTCAGACGAGTGACTATCCTCAGAAGGGACAACTACAAGCCATTGTTAGTACTGCAGCAGTGAATAGCAAGCGTATATCATGAAATCTCACTGTAAATATGAACATTGCGCTCCTTCATCAAGCCTCTCAGGCGGGTGAGCCTGGAGGTAGTATCGAGCTTGGTCATTGTTTCAGATGAGGCCCAACGGCGAGAGGATATTCGTGAAGCTGCGGCTAATCGTCGTGGAGCTGAACGGAGGAGTGAAGTAGCAGTCTGGAAAAGCATTGACAATCAGACGCAGGCAACAAGACACCTCGGCTGGGGACAAATACACTCGAGGCTTGGAGATAAGCAATAGAGCGAACTGGGAGCTCAGGACTCAAGGTCTTTACAGATAAGAGTCAGTACGGGATCGGTGACAAGAGATATCTTGATGTCTGAGAGGCGGCTGGTGAGATATGGTGAGAGCAGTCTGAGAACTCAGAAGGACATTTCAACAGAGGCTGGAAACATTCACACAAGGGTGAGGTTTGAATATCATGGGGAAGCGTAATTATGAGGACAGCTAATGAGGGGCTTGGAGATGGAGTCATGACCCAGATAAGTTGCATGCTTTGGACGATCTTTTGTTGGTTTGGCTCACTTACCTTGATAGTACAAGTTGGATTGATGGTGCACAGGGAGGAAATACCGCGAACAGAACCACCCACGAACAGAAAGAAACGACGCTGAGGAGGCTAATTCAGTTGTAGCGAATCGAGCTATGAAATCAAAGGTCGATGAGTTCCTCGTCACGAGAGCAGGGAACCTGAGTGAGGTGTTCCATTAGTGCAAGTACGTACCCGCCCTGGCACCTTCCTCCATGAGTGTGGGCAAGCGTGCAAGCGTGGGATGGCGGGGCAGGAGCGGATCTTTGGAATGACCGCTACCCCGAAGCAAGCCGCACCCCAGACTTTGAAGGCATTCAGTTCGTCCCTATTAATATGTTGGCGCTGTTGGGAGGGGATATGTTCCAGGCGAAAGTACCTGTCAATGGATCTGGGAACAACCAGAGACAGGAAATGGTTCCTATGCTGTATGAAAGCTTGACCCAACTACGTCGATCTGTTTCAGTTCTTTAAGTGGTATGGCCCTACAAAAGATGATTGTATCTATTCCTAAGGATATATCATTCACTCTTCCCAAATCAAGAATCAATTGATGCGTTGAATCAACGCTCAACATTGTATTTAGGTCTAATCTCGCGTATGATATACGTTCCAAAGAAACAGGAGGGAATTCTCTCTTCTCCTTCGCCAAACCCCATTCGATCAAGGCTGTTCCATTTTGATACAGGCGCCATAGATACGGCGAGATCAATCTGTCTCTAGATCAGAGGTGCCTCTGTTTGATTCGACTGTATACGTCAAGCTATGATCCCATCATCTGCTGTCAGACCATTCGTCCGTTCAATATATCTTCAATCCTCTCTCTGATAACGCCAAAACTTAGACACAATGCCGCTATACCTTAACCCCTAGACAATGAAAACCGTCCCGCCAAATATCACGTTCCGTTGATGCCGCCTGGGAATTGATGGCAGTTAAAAAGCTATGCAGAAGAGATGCAGGAAAAACGCCGAACGAATAATCACTCCATGACATCAAGTCTTATGAGAACAAACGCTGGTCCGCTCCTGGCGATCCAGTGCTCAAGTCCAGCTTGAGAATACGCCGAAGATCGTTTTCCATAGCTTGGAGGTTGTTTGAGCGGCCATCGCAAGAAGCCGGGACACTAGGGCCACTCCTAACATAGTTGTAGTGTTGAGCAGGGAGAGCGGGTGCGGGTGCAGGTGCAGGTGCAGGTGCAGGTGCAAATCCATTAGGGGCAGATTGAGAGACATTTGTTCCGTTTCCGATAAATAGGAATTTCTTTAGGGCCTCAGTAGGATCTTCAGGTACAACGTTGGGTTTCGGCTGGATGGCGGATAGATCAGCAGGAGATCGAGCAGAGTTAGAGCGAGCAGCCTTAATGCGCTCTTGATAGGGTGTCGAAAATGCCGGCCCCATGGGACGGCCTGGAGTTCCGTCCAGCTCAACACTGTCGATACCACCAGACTGGAAGCGTGTTGGGTTGCGGGCTGTCTGGGGGAGTGTTGCTGGCTTTGGGATACTACCAGGCCCAAAGGGAGACTGGGCAGAGGGTGATTCAGTGACGAGGCCTGAAGGGCGGAAGCTGCTAGTGCTTTCGCTGCGCTGACGTTCCTTCTCTTGACGGTGGGCGCGAAACATGAAATCGAGCGGAGATTCCTGGACATCCGATGCACTCTGGCGCAAAGGAGTTGGCGCTTCAGTATCGGTAGGCGGCGAGGGTTCCTGTAGGATGTTTCGAGATGTCTTGCTTACGCTAGGCGACTCGGTTACCGAACGAGAGACAAAACTGGGAAGAGGTAGGGCAGATGGCGCAGGAGATGCATGGAAAGTGGCTCCGGCAAAGGCAGAGACCGACTTCAGAGATGAAGATTGATGCGGTGGAGTGTGACGACCAGGCCGAGCAGATTCGGGTGAGTGAGGACCATTCTTCCCACGATGTTTGTTGTTGTTGTTGTTATTGTTACTATTGTTTGCATTCCTGGGTCGCTGTTTCGAATTGGTATGGCTCAGCTGCGCATGAGGAGAATCGGTGCCAGCTCCCTTCTGAGGAGTTCGTGGAGCGCGATCGTAACGTGCGGGATCAATTGAGGCGACATCGTTCTCGGAGGCATAAGCCTTCTGAGCAGCAGGACGGCCATTGCCGCGACCGTTACGACGGCGGGCTGGAGTAGTTGTAGGCTGAGATGGGGTCTCACTCATTTCGTCTGTGGCAACAAGTTGAATCGATCAAACACGAGGGAAAAGACAGGACGAGTGTCGGCTGAGGCTAAGACTGAGACTTAGACAACAGTCAAGTCGAATATGCGATGTCCCGTACTTGTTTGGTGTGCAGCTGGCTGGCTGGCTGGTTGATTGATGAGGCGTTCGTTGGTATCTGGCTATGCGACAGGACCAAAGAGGACTCCAAAAGATCGAGCCGGATTAAGATGGTGGTGGGGTGTATGAAAGAGAATATAAAATCGAGGCAGGTGTTACGATTGAGCATAAAGCAACTACTATTCTGGTGAAGAGAGAGTCGACTAATCTGACCATGGCTGTACTGTAGGAGAAAGTGTGATGTGGGTGATTCAAGATCAAGTAATGAGGGGAACAACAAAAGAAGTGAAGGGCGGAAGCGTCTGGGTTAATAAGAGTCAGTCAGGTCAGTCCCGTCAGGTTAAGCGCAAAGCATGGCCAGTCCAAGCAATGACGCGGGCGGATTCCAGGCATTGCCAGCACAAAGAGTGGGTCAGGCCAGCGTTTAGCTCCAGCGCCCGAAGCGGCGGGCGGATCAGATGTCGCATCTCACAGCCTTAGGTTGCTTTCGAGCAAGAGAACCTTATTAATATCCGAGTCACGTATTCCAAGAAACTAAGAGCTTTCGAGATACGTTTAGAATTCAAATTAAATAATGCAAAACTAAAGCAATATAAGAAAAGTATATCATGTGTGTAAGACTCATATGTTTCGTTTCTAGCGAACGGAAGTCCCATCACGACTGATAAGCGATAGGACGTCTGTGATCGACCCCGCCCCGCCACTGTCCCGCCAGACGCAGCCTGAATTAGGTGAGGTGACCTAAGGCTTGAACTCCTCCAGCTGCCTGTCCGCCTACCTAGAGGAGCTCTGTGGCATCCGAAGCCTTTAGAGCAGACGTTCAGAGCCGCATCATCACTTGCTAGGAACCAAATTCACTGTAAGTCCCCTCGCCTTCCTCCCAAATGCACCATCAAGGTACATTTGTTAACAAAATCAACCCATGCCCAAAGCTTCTATTCATTCTCTTCTCATTGCTGACAATTACAAGCATTCACAACTCTGTAGATATTGATCTATCGAGCAGGGAATCCGTACGTCCTCTTACCTTCAACCCGAATCTGCGCGCTACATGTCCCTTTTTCCCGTCCGTGAAGATTACCGGCAAATGGGTAATTCTGACTGCTTCTAGCCAACCAGTGTACCTCGATATCAGTCAACGAAATCAACCATAGCGTGGTCTTGCAGGTTGACCCGCACCGTACGAAACATGGCCGACGTTGAGATGAGCGATGCGCCCGTCGCTAAGAAGGGCGAGGGCTCCGGCAGCAAGAGTGTCGAGGGAAAGAAGAAATTCGAGGTCAAGAAGGTACAGACTTACCAGTCTTGAGCCCCCCAGAGTCATGCTGACCGAAACAAACAGTGGAATGCGGTCGCTCTTTGGGCATGGGACATCGTTGTTGACAACTGTGCCATCTGCCGAAACCACATCATGGATCTATGTACGTTTACTCGGATTCTTATTGGATGTATGTCACCAAGTGCTCACAAATTATTAGGCATCGAATGCCAGGCAAACCAAGCATCTGCGACAAGCGAAGAGTGCACCGTGGCATGGGGAATATGCAACGTGAGACTGCTACACGCCCTTTCTTTTCGTGGCATTCGGCTAACAGAGACACAGCATGCGTTCCACTTTCACTGTATTTCGAGATGGCTCAAGGCTCGATCTGTTTGTCCTTTGGACAACAGGGACTGGGAGTTCCAGAAGTACGGTCGATAAAGATAATGCGGTCGATATCCGAATTTGATGGATTATGAAGAAAAGAACAAGACAACTGCAAGGAAATAGTAGTATTTCGGTGTCATAATCAGCCTCGAGAGCTGCAGAGGTCATGACACAGCGAGGCCTAGTGCACGGCACACAATCTATTGATTTCCTTTGCTTGCAAGATCGTATGCGTACCCGGCTGGAAGCCACTTGACGGGATGTTTGTTGTAGAAGGGCCAGGCCGGCACCACGACGAGGAAGGTTAACGCCGTGCCTCCTAGACCTAGGTAGACCGCGAGCTTGATATCTTGGAGGAAGTAGCCGACAACGAAGGAGATCAGCTAGTTGCAGTCATCAGCCAAACAATCCAGCGAGTTATCAGGCATAGGTTGGAGAGGAAGAAGACGTACGCCAGAAACGACAAGGAGAACTGTCGCGAGGAGCTCGGCAAGCTTCTGTCCTTCAAAGTCCTACAGTGGAGCTTCAGTCAGCTGTTGGTCAGGTAAATCGACGGGCGGGATCATGTACAATTTGGCCATCGACGACGTCTCGGATCTGATCAAGAGCTTGTTCAGCCATAATGGATGATGATCGGGTGGGAGTATTCGTCGTGTGTTTGTACTGTGTCTGGAGATGTTGTTCCGTCGGATTGAGATCGATGTGAATGCGATCGCCAATAGTGTCAAGTTCGGAATTGGTCTCGACACCTGGCTGTTAGGAAACTCATAGACTAGTCCGCTTTCGGTAAACAAGCTTTTGCAGGCTGGAGAAGATTCGATGTCTGAGCGAATGAGGATCAAGATGCCGTAACCATGAATAGATGTGAGTAAGTAATATCCTAATGATCAAATTGTGATATGATCTTCTGAGTGCATTCATCTGGCGCTCTACGAAAGGACAACGTTTACAGTTATTTACCGGGATTAATGCAGTGGTGCTCTGGGGAATCAGTCATTCTGCTGGTCAATCAGCTGAGATGATCAATGTTCCTGATAGCCCCTACCCTACACCACCCGACAGTGGCGAATCGGCTCTCAAAGCTGGACAGGCACAACAGGGAGTTCCTAGGTTCTAAACTAGGCCTGACCAAGGACAAGCCTGATATCTAACACGGACACGGACACCGATGGTCCAGGCCAAGCTCATTCTGCAGAAGCAAGTGTCCCAAGACAGGAAAAGTGGCGGCCTCTCCCCATCTTGTCTGGCCTGTAAGAACCAACGAGTCAACCAGGATGACCTATTTTTTGCTTGTGATAGCACACGGCGATTCGGTACCCGACACTTGATACCACCAAAGACAATTTTTTTCTTCCTAGCCCTTCGGTTCCCACTTATAGTATATTAAGTTCCTCAAACTCCTCTTAAACCCAACTTCACCCTGACATCGTCGCTCTCGACACTAAGACCTCCTTTTGTACCCAACATTACTTGGTTTTCTTATTCATTCATGCTTGTTTTGCCCGTGCACTATTAACCGGGTCTCTGTTCTGTCCAGTAACGAGAAAATTTCTCGTCTGGCTAACCGTGCCAGTATCGAAATTGGCCCTTGACCTTAGTTCCCTCAGACGATAGGCCCTGGCATCGTCACCCTGCCTTTATTCCCTGCCAAGGCCCAAAACAAATTCTGGTTACTACAAATAAACCAGCCTGACTCAACTCCTGAGATCGAAATCCACTTGCACCAACCGAGTACTTTATCGCGAAGCTTCCTTTATCGAACCTTGACCGGCTTCTATTTCAATTGCCTTCAGTACTGTTGGCACCTTCGAGCAACCGCTTACTCTACGCCATCATCCAGTATCGGCGTCTCGCCATTATCCCATACAAGTTTTCAAGTTGGCTCAACTCGCCTTCTCAAACGTTTCCCTCCCTTCGCTCTTCGGTCCCAGCTTCTGGGTCTACAGCGGAGTAAACAAGAAGCCCCCGTAACTGGTCTTTAGATCGCATTACCCGTTCTTCGTCTCCCGCTAGTACATATTTACCCTTAACAATCAGCAGCCATTGGCGACAACCGCCGAGCAGAGCTCAGTTTTGAACAAACTCCAACTCGGCGCGCCCATGCCGCGCCGGGTGCGACGTCTATAACCGCCTATATCAGACGACACTGATTGGAACAACAACAAGCTATGGGACTATAATACCGAGTCCGTAATACACCTTCCGCCCTCCTCGAGACGTATCCATCTACTCTACACGGCCACCGTTAGAGCCAATATAGTCAATATCAAGCTACAAACCTAGCCAAAAGCCAAAAGCCAAAAGCCAAAATGTCAGACCACGAGGAATCCGCTGCCCAGTCTGGGTACGACACTCCCGTCCCGGAGCTCGATGACCACCGTCACCAGTCGGGTTCAACCAGAGTTGAGCGCCCTCGTCGTGGCACATTCGACAGTCTGTATGGTGCCCGACAGCTCGAACCTGAGCCCCCCGCCCCTCCTGCGATTGTAGTTCGCGACTTCGAGGAGGCCATCATCGATGAGGAAGTAGGTGATCTTTCACCCACTGCTCGTCGCAGTCGCCGACCTACTGTGGATTCCACGGATCGATCTGTCTCGCCACCTAACTCGGTCAAGGCGTTCGCCCAGGCTCGCCGTCGAGAGCGTGACATGTCATTCTCGGAACCCAACAAGCCTGATATCGAAGATGTAGCCAGCCGAGCCATGTCTGTCTCAAGCAAGCGCAGCTACCGAAGCAAGCCTCGCACCATCGACAATGATGCTGCTAGCCTCTCAACCAACACAACTGCAGAGGAGGATGTCTGCTTCCCTGTCAAGGAGAGCTATCACAAGGACCACCTGTATATTGACTTTGACTATCTCGAGAACTTCATCAATGAGCAGGCGGCTGAACGCGCGGCTGAGCGAGCGGCTGAGCGTAACGCTGCCGCTGCCGAGAAGCAGAGCTTTGAGGATATGCGAACTCAGCAGAATGAATCGCGCCTTCAGCGGATGGTCACTGTTGATGGTGATATCCTAGAACCCGTCTCGGATGACTCGATGACCCGTGAGAAGACGAACCAGACAGCGCAGACTCATGCCGAGGGGTCAATTGCTGAAAAGCAGCCTGCGCCTATCGACCCTAACCGGTTCAGTTTCTTCTCTTCAGCATGGGAGTCAACTATCCACGCAGCTGATTTTGGCGATTTGGTTCTCCCAGGAGAAGACCTTCGAGGCCTCTTCGAGCTTCCTGATGAAGACGAAGATGGTGTTTGGTGGCTCAATGTTAATGCGGCTTCCAAGGAGGAGGTCCAGAGCATTTGCAAAGCTTTCGGAATCCATCCTCTGACAATTGAGGATATCATCACTCAGGAGGCTCGCGAGAAGATTGAACTCTTCCCGTCGTACTACTTTGCCTGTTTCCGTTCCTTCTCAGTTGTCCAGGAGCCTGATGGCATTGAGTATGAGCCTTTCAACACCTACGTCATCGTGTTTCGTGAGGGCACACTGAGCTTCAGCTTTGAGCCCAACTCGCACGCGGCTCAGGTTCGTAAGCGAATCACTGCCCTCAAGGATTATGTCTCTCTCAGCAGCGACTGGATTTGCTATGCTTTGATGTAAGTTTACCTGTGAATACGACCTGTAGAGTCATACTAATTGCCCACAGTGACGACATTGTTGATTCCTTCGGACCTGTCATTCGCCAGATTGAGCTTGAAGCGGATGCTATTGAAGACGAGGTGTTCGTCATGCGTGAGGATGATTCCAACTCGTTTCTCCGTCGCATTGGCCGGGTTCGCAAGAATTGCCTGGCCCTGCTTCGCCTCCTCGGTGGCAAGGCAGATGTTCTCCGTGGTTTCACGAAGCGATGCAACGAGAACTACAAGGTCACGCCACGGATGGACATCGGCATGTACCTTGGTGACATCCAGGATCACGTTGTGACAATGGCCACCAACTTGGGACACTTCGAAAAGATTTTGTCTCGCGCACACAGCAACTATCTTGCTACGGTTTCCATCAACAGCATCGCCCAAGGAACACACACTAACGAGGTTCTGAGCAAAATCACTTTCTTGGCCTCGATCCTGGTCCCCCTCAACTTGGTCAGTGGTGTGTTTGGAATGAACGTACCAGTTCCGTTTGCAACCGTTGCCGGAAACAACTTGGCTCCTTTCTTCAGTATCATCAGCTTCATGGTTTTCCTATGCATCATTTTTATGGCCTTGGCCCGTTGGAAGCGTTACATCTAGCGAAAGCGATGCATGGATGCTACCTCCGTACATGCATATGTTAGTTCTGAGAACCCAATCGGTCGTTACTATTGTTTCTTTTCCAGTATAGATGGGTGTTACTCGGTGGCATATTCTGGTTAGAGTTGTTACATGAGAATTGTTTTAGAGCGGTATTATGACTACTTATTTGGTATTTATAAATTAGATACTGTTTACAGAGAGCTTCATGGCGCTGAGTTGTCTGTCTTGAGCTGTATGTGATGGTGAAAAGACTCTCAGTATACCTTAGCTATTATAATGCGTCGGATTAATAATTCTTTCTCTGAGTAATCTACAGGGCTGGCAGCGACAGCCATATAAATCAAAACTGCTTGTATCTCTTGGTGAAAAAATGGTAGCGTAAGGCAATAGACACTTATTGTTACTCTCCTGGTGAAAGCTGAGAGTGGGACTACAAGCCCATCCGTGGCCAATTATTGGTCAGTTGATTAGAGTTGCGCATCATCAAAAATCTTGAACTTGTGAGCAGAACCTACACTACTACAACAAACCAACTTCAACCCGCCACCAATCACGACCAATCTCTTGACGATCGCCAAAATGAGTGCTCAACAATTGTCCATCGATAACGCCGACCTCGAGAAGCTCAACGACAAGGATCGCCTCGAGCTCCGCCAGTTCCTCGCCAATGAGCAGCAGCGCTCTCAGATCCAAGCCCGTACGTATAATACCGAGGAAGACATAATGGGATACGGAATCGCTGACGAAATGTCTTTAGAAACACATAGCTTGACCCAAATGTGCTGGACCAAGTGCGTTCCTGGAAACATCAAGAACCCCAAGCTCGACAAGTCCGAGGAGACATGTCTCGCCAACTGCGTCGAGCGATTTCTTGACGTCAACTACCTTACGATGAAGCACCTCAACGGTATGCGCAACTAAGAAACTGATTTCTGAATGGGATCAAGGTTATTTCAGCTATGTATTACGAGATTTTTTTGTATGAATAGACGGGCCGTGGTCATGGTGGAAAATTCAGGCTGTGACCAGGACGGACGACCGAGACTCTGTTGGTCAAAGAGACTGGCAATTGGGCTATGTATATCACGAACGATTTAGAAGAAGAAAAAACAGATCTCAACCTTGATTGTTTAGGAATGGCTCATCTAAAATGGTGATGACTTGTCTTGACTTAACCGGCACATTATTCATGACATGCCACCAAGTCTATTAGCCGTAGTTTCTACGAAACCCAAGACTTGTTAGAAACAAACGCAAAAATTACTTGCGACCCCAAACTACAAATCACATTCACGCATTATCACTCAAATCATATAAAGGCAGCATCTTGGACGACTAAGCGGAGCCGTGTCCCGGGTGGTATTGAATTCATGATCATTTGCACTCT